GAACTTGTAATCAGCTTTGGTGAAGAGAAGCGCACGTTTTCCGCGATGAAGATTGTAGGTGGAGGTCAAAGTTAATAAGCATGAAAAAGAGTAAATAGTGAGTGTGTGAGTGAATGCTATATAGAGATTAAGGAAATGATAGTTGAATGTGTAATCGTTGTAGCAATGCGAAGACATAGCCGCAAAGGAACGAAGTAATTGTTCGTAGTGCTTGATGTGGGTATTAATAGTATGTGTTTGGTGGTGTGTGTACATATATAATTATTTTAACACTAGTGCGTGTATTTGCATGCTTTTTATTCCTTACCAGGCGATGTAGACTTGATATATTTAGTTGTAGCTGTTGTATAGCATCTATGTTGTGTAGACGGAGGTCGGTAGTGTTGGTACGTAGATGTTAATATTTTAGAATAGTACATTTTTAAAAAACTTGCAGTTTGTGTTAGAGGTGAGCCATGCACGTGCAGGGAGGACAGTAAGAAGCCGGAAGTGGATGAATTTTGTGGCAAAAATGCAGGGCTGAATATAGGTGTAGTGGGTTCCAGGACACGGAGACGGCAGAGTAGAAGCAGCACTATTTATTCAAACCTTAACAAGGGTTACACTAGAAGGGGTAGCGGCCCCTCCACCCGTATAACTCAGGAACACACCCCAGGCTCTCTAGCCTAAGCTCTAGGCTCCCAGTTCCTCCTGGTAGGGCTCTAAGGGAGGCTATCAGATCTGGCCCTGGTTAGGCACAGACCTCGGCACCCCGCCGACCAGACCGGCCCTTAGAAGGGCTCTGGGGCCGCACCACTGGCTTGCTGTGCCGGCCCTGAAAAGGGCAGCGGTCACAGGAGTTCCAGGGTCTCACTTAGCTGGCCTTCTTTCTTCACTGGTTGCTTCAGCCTCGGGCCCAACACTCTGCCCCGAGCTCCCTGGCTCCCCGCACTTTATACCCACAGGGGGTGGAGCCTTAGCGGACATTGTTGTAGCCACCAAGGTGTGGGTGAACCACACCTTCCCGTGCCATGTGTTTATTCCCCATAGCACCCCTACATAGGGAAGGATAACGTGGTAAATATGAGAACAAATATAGCAGTGCAATGAAAACACTTATGTTATGGTGAGTGCGTGGAATTGTAGTATATGAAATGTCATGTGTTTGCATGTGTGGCAACCCTTGGGCTTTAACACATGTCGAGAGAGAGGGGTGGGGGAGGTGATGAGCGGGGGTGGGTTGGAGTGTGCAGGTAAGCTAAAATTAGTGCGAAAAACACTAACTTACCCGTGAGTACACGTGGAAAGTTTGGGGTGTGTTGGCGCAATTTGGTTCATGAAAAAATCTACACAAGCGCAAAGTCTGCTTTATCTTTATAGATTTAGACTATTTTTTTGTCTTGGACTATTTTTGGTAGATTTTTTTCTCCATGTTTATTTGAATAGTTTAGTTTATCTGGAATACAGTACGGTACTTATTTCAATTGTGATGTAAATTTTAGTTGACGTTTACCGAACGCCATTACTCAGGTAAGGCTTAAGTATTGAATATAAGAATAGGGTTTTCATAGGGTTTTCCCCTTTTTTCTGGCAACAAAATTTAAACCTTTTTACAAGAATCATGTCTGCATTAACCACAATACTAGTGGTCAGAATGCAAACAAAAAACATACTTTGATAATATATGCATTGTCCTTGAAACTGATTGGTTCACACCAGAGACAGCTTTTTTCGAGCCACATCTCAAATGGTGTTAGACCAGAGGACGCCAAAAGGCGTACAGCTCAAAGACAATGCACTATCAGAGTAATGAGTGCTCGGGGTGAGCATCTCCATCAAGGGATCTCCTTTGCCAAGACCAAAATATGAGAATTGGTTTTTCCCATTTTTTCTGGCAACAAAACTGAAACCTAATTTTTACGAGGAATCATGTCTGCATTAATCACAATACTTGTGGTCAGAATGCAAACAAAAAAACATACTTGGGCTTTGGGTTGTTTTTTGCTTTCAAATCTATGCCTCTTGCTCACATTATTTGAGGATTTGTATGATATTGGGCAGGACGGTCTAAATCTGCGATATCAGGAGTCGGAGCCATATCCTGTTCAAATTGGCTTGTGACAGAAATTCACTCTGGTCCCATGCATTCCATTTCATAGCATCTTCAATAACTATGTAGTTTGAGAAGCTCCCAATGGTCATATAAAAACAATTGTATTTGTTACGGTTACAACGATATGCTAATCGATGCCTGGTTTTAGTTAAAGGATCGTCCCGTCCTGGTCAACCATGTTACATCTGCTGATGATCTGGTAATGGCCACATAATGAGATCGAATTCGGGGATCTTGTTCCGTGACTTGATAATTTCATCATGAAATGGGGCCTTGCAAATGTTCCACAAAAATAAATCACCTGCCTGGGAATTTAATGTCATACAACACTGCACCTGCTCAACTATCCATGAATAATCAGGCAGTTCTACAAGTGGTGGAGGAGCTCCCATACCTGGTTAATGTGTTCACGACCAGCTCTGGTTTGACAGCCAAAGTCTCAATTAAAATTAGTCAAGCAGCATTCTTTCATTAGACTGTGTAACACTGTGTGGACAGTGCCTGGACTTTTCCTCCATACAAGGCTGTGATTGTCTATCGCCAAGGTCTAATCCATATGAGACCATTCCTCTCCCTGCCATACTGGCATCGCACCTGCCCCTCACCCTTCATCATGCAGATGTATGGTGGACAGGATGGCACCACGTAACCATTTTGAGCTTGCCCGATTGGGTTACATGGGTCACACGGCCACGAGTCTCTTGTTGGCGAACACAACCCCTGGACCTGGCTCTAAGGGTGATATCAATATAGAATATATGTAAGCATGACCCCCAATGGCCTCCCCCTAGATCTCTACCACACACGTCCCACTGGACGAAGATACCAGGGCTGGCCCCGGACACGCTGGTGAGACTATGTCGCTTGGCTGGCCTGGGATCACTTTGGAATTCCCCAGGTTGAGCTAGAGTCTGTCTCCAGGTAAAGGGAGGCTTGGACCGCCCTACTCGATGTGCTGCCACCGCGACCCTCACCAGGACAAGTGTTTTTAGAAACGAATGAACAAAGCTGTGATTCTTCTTGGCCACAGATATTACTCTGTGGATGCAAAATATGAATTTATTTAAATGACCATCTGCGCCGGCTTATACAATTAAGGCTGGCCTGCCTATGATTCATCCTCTATTCAACCAGACTATTTTGTATTAAGCTTACAGATCCTTAATATAGAATATAATCTTGAGTCTCTTTGATAGGCGAGGCTGCATTGGTTCGGTCACGAATCCCGCATTCCCAGACACTGCATGCTCAAGCAGCTTCTGTTCGTTCAGATATTAAGGGCTAAATTAGCATGGCATTGGCTAGAGAAGAGATTGGAGGATGTGGATGTGATCGGATCCGCCGATGACTGGTATCAGTAGTATCAATATTGGCCTTTTGTGGAGGAGGCCCATGAGGTATGCTGCAGGGCAGTTAACAGATATTTGCTCTGCAACAACGATGAGGTCGGAGTGACACTCACATGAATGGGTCGAACGCTGGGTTCCTAAAACCCAGCAAGACAGTGGGGAGCACAGCTGGTTCATTTGTCAGTCATCCCTTGACACCTGGATCATTCCCATTATCTGCTGGCAAGAAATCCATACTGCCTTGGTATTAAATTGCACCTATCATGGCATTAGCATTGTGATAAGGTTACTTCCAATTTGTAATGAATGGTGACTCTTTTGTTCATATAATATGTTAATGATCTATGTGAAATGTATGTGTATTTAAGAGTTTATTTTGTGGGGAGATGTAGTGCAGTTATTTCACCGCATTATAAACGCAACAATTAGTTTGATTATCACTGACAGCAAACTTTATTGATAACACTGTAACAAAACAATTTAATTTTGTCCCTGGGTCGTAAGTCTTATTTCCTAATTGCTTATGCCTCAAAAGTACAGAAAATGGCTATTATTCCCCACAAACTTTTCTTTTGTGACCAGGGCAGTGATATTTTTAAATTTGCCTATTTTCAATGATAAAACGTGTGCGTTTGTGTCATTCCTTAACGTAAAGTCCTGGTCACAAAAGCAAAGTTTGTGGGGAATACTTTTTAGGCATACCTAAAATAGTGTAAGTGAAAGCTGAACTTATTGTGGGCCTCTGCTATGTTGATTGATCTTAAAATTAATTTCATGAAGTGAGGAAGCATTAATACTGAGCAGATGAAGGCGGCCAGGCATGGTTCTGGACACACCACCACCTTTTTACCATGCCAGTATGTGACAGTGTCAAGTTTATATTTGCAGTAATGTATATTAACTATTGAACATGGAGGTTAAATCCTCTGGAACTCTTTAAACGAATGGAAACAGGAAAATATCTGAGCACATATGCAGCTGGAGTTAGATCTGTTCATCCGAGCATTCAAGCAAATCTGAGCCTGGCTTTACACCTCGAAGTTTCGATTGAACATTAATTTATGCATTTCCTCATAATACAAATAGTGTTATTCTAAACACCCTTGGCTATGTTAGCTGGATTTCTATTAAATATTCCCTTCATAGCTAGACAGCCGAAATGGTGTACTTATGCATCCAGGCATATTTACGACCACTTGCCCTCTCATTGTGTACCTTAACAGCCCGTGTGATGAATTGGGGAATCTTTTTTAATATTTCATGAATATATGAATAAGTATAGACGTGTTAGTCATGTGTGACTGTGTATATATTCATTCCTCTGTTCCTCGATACTGACATAGATGGTGTGGATATGTTTTTCTGTCTGCAGCTGACGCTTCCTCTGATGCTGCCTCTGCAGAATTGGTCTGATGGAGCAAAGGCACTCAGCGCAGCTCGGTACAAAATGGAAACAATGCGACCAGTATGCAAACAGCACGGATCTTACTGGAAATTTGACACAGCACCCGAGAACTCACATAGGAGAGAAACCCTTGAAGTGCACTGTGTGTGAGAAGGAATTTGCATGGTCATCAAATCTTAAAAGACACCAGAGAATTCACACAGGAGAGAAACCCTTCAAGTGCACTTTGTGTGAGAAGGCATTTGCACAGTCATCCTATCTTACAATACACCAGAGAACACACACGGGCGATAAACCCTTCAGGTGCACTTTGTGCTCGAAAGCATTTGCAGATTCATCACATCTGAAAATACACCAGAGAACACACACAGGAGAGAAACCCTTCAGGTGCCAATTGTGCGGGAAGGCATTTGCACAGTCATCAGATCTTCAGAGCCACCAGAGAACACACACGGGAGAGAAACCCTTCAGGTGCCCATTGTGTGGGAAGGCATTTGCACAGTCATCAGATCTTCAGAGCCATCAGAGAACACACACGGGAGAGAAACCCTTCAAGTGCAGTGTGTGTGAGAAGGCATTTGCAAAGTCATCAAATCTTAAAAAACACCAGAGAACACACACAGGAGAGAAACCTTTCAAGTGCACTGTGTGTGAGAAGGCATTTGCACAGTCATCAGTTCTTCAGGGCCACCAGAGAACACACACAGGAGAGAAACCCTTCAAGTGCACTGTGTGTGAGAAGGCATTTACAGAGTCATCACATCTGAAAAAACACCAGAGAACGCACACAGGAGAGAAACCCTTTAAGTGCAGTGTGTGTGGGAAGGCATTTTCAAGTTCATTTTATCTTAAAATACACCAGACAACACACACTGGAGAGAAAGCCTTCCTGTGCACTGTGTGCGGGAAGGCATTTACACGGTCATCAAGTCTTCAAAAGCACCAGAGACAACATACTGGAGAGAAACCCTTCAAGTGCACTGTGTGTGAGAAGGCATTTGGACGGTCATCAGTTCTTCAGAGCCACCAGAAAACACACACAGGAGAGAAACCCTTCAAGTGCACTGTGTGTGAGAAGGCATTTGCAGAGTCATCAAATCTTAAAATACACCAGAGAATACACACAGGAGATAAACCCTTCAAGTGTACTCTGTGCGGGAAGGCGTTTTCACAGTCACAACATCTTCATAGACACCAGAGAACACACAGGCATCAGAAGATCCCCAAGGAGTGTCGTCTGAAATCGACTTGTGCTGCAATGAGCCCATCCCTCCTGAAAAAAGAACCAGAAGTAAATTCCAGCTTGGACACTATGAAATGTATCAAGGTGAAATTTGAAGAGGCAAAGGTGAAATGTGAAGAAGTGATGGTGAAGAGCGAAGAAGTGAAGGTAAAATGTGAAGAAGTGATAGTGAAGATCGACGAAGTGAAGGTCAAATGTGAAGAGGTGATGGTGAAGAGCGAAGAAGTGACTGTAAAATGTGAAGATGAAGATTCAACTCCAAAATTGGACCTTCCCATCGATGGAGGCAATGTGAAGCAGGAGGAGAATTCTGACTGTGAGGCAGAGCGAGGCAACTCCCAGCAGTTTGTGGAAGTAGAGGTGTGGGTGGACTTCTTAGACAATACAAAGTCAAATGGAGACCCGGTAGATGTGTAAGCTTGAGACAATGAAGTTCCAATAGATTAACCTTTGTCACAGGCCTTTAATGAAAATAAAGTGAAGTTGAACACTCAATTCCTCGGTTCAACCTGCAGAGTAAGAGCGGCTAGTTTTTGCAAACCTGTGGGTTGGGTAGATCTCTTACCTGGAACCAGAGCCAATAAGCTCCAAAGCATTCACAATGTTTTCATATTATTTATGTGGTGCTTGCTTAATCGCCTCAGCAACTCGGAGTTTTGCATCATCTCATCACCAACATTCGAAGAGCATGTTGTATATATGCCTTTTCCAAAAAAATACATTGAGTGATTGCCTACTTTTTTTTGTAATAATTTTGATTGGGATGTAGCACTGGGGCACAGAAAGTGTGAGTCCCATCCCCTGCCTCCTACCTTGCCACACAAAAGACAACTGGAGGATAATTACTCACAAGCCTGCTTGGGAAGTTATAAAATGTAATAAAAAACGGCAATCCTCAGTTGACTTCAAGAGAAGGCCGCCATGAAGGAAACAACCCACAAAACAAACATAAGACGGAAACAGCAGGAGTTACGAACCTCCCCCGGACAGCGAAATCCACCCAAGGGCAGTTAATACGAGCTGACTGGGGCTTTTAAAATACAACAGTAAAGTTCGAAGCTTAGCTATATCTTCAACTTCAGGATATCAAAATATAACGGATCCCTGTTGATACAGATGGGAAACAAAGGTTAATAAAACCCTCGGAATATCTTTGGTAACAACTATGGTATAGCACAAATCTTGGTGAAGCATGAACCAAATAATAATTATGAAAGTATTAGACCTAGGGTCAGTCAGAAGAGATACAATGCGTAATGTCAATCACACACGACCAAGATAATGTATTCCACGGGATCAGAGCCTGACCAACTGCCTTTGTCTTCCAGGAGCTAACAGCACATGGTAGCAATAAATTATGTATGCAGGGTGGCGCCTCCCCCTAATATATCCAATACCACGCATTAATTCCAAACCGCGATGTGAGTGCTGTGAACGCTGCTCAAAAGGTACTGTGAGTCGCTTGCCGAGTCAAAACTGTGGAAAGTTGTATGGTACCAAGCTGTAAGAGGTGTAAAAAAAATGTTTACTTCCAACCCGTGATGAGAGGACGGAAAATATGACAACAGCAAGCACAGCCGTGCACAATAGGTCACGACTGCAAAGGCCACAGCGCCCCTTTTTGAGTCTGAGGCAAAAAAAGTAACACTTCCAACTTCCAACCCGTGATAGGAGCGTGGGGAACGCTGCCCAAAACCTTAACGGAAACATGGCGGTAATAAAGACATCCGGAAAACAAACAGCCCAAGCAACAGAAATAAGTATTTTATACCTGCGTGACTTTACCGAAAGAACCAAAGAGTATAACTTGATCTGTAGCTTGTCCTCTGTGCAGCACGAGTCGTACAGACAACTGGAAGAGGACTCTTGAAGAGGGGAGGGGGGGGGGAGACGACAGGCGTTGTCTGTCCAAGTCGCTCCACAGTCTACAATGATCAACAGTCTGGTGCCAACGGGGGTGACGCGCGGCAACCAGAGGATGAGCTGCAAGCGGTGTCTGGCGACGAGATCATCGCGCACATCGACGCAGACGGAGCTGGACCCATCATACCTGCCTGCATGGGCACTGCCGAGAGCGTGACCAGCGTGCCGACTCGGCAACCACCCCAGCGGTGGAGAGAGACTGACGAAGCAGCCGAGAGCACCGTGTGTTCGACACACACGCCGACCCAGCACCCCTCCTGGGGACCTGAGGTGTTTTCGGTACAAGGAATGGTGCACCTCGGAAGCCGCTAACTTAACAGTTAGCAAGAAGACAATACACACCCACACACATAACGCGCATATTGGTACTAATTATATCGTTCCAAAAAGTTATCTGTTTCGAAAAGGGTTGCCATCCTAAGGTGGTGCGTTAACTATTAGCTGATCGTGAATAGCATTGTTCTGTCCATTGAGTTACATGAATACGGTCGTTTAGAAGTATTTTATTGATTCATTTTCGTTAATTTCATAACCTTACCAGTGAATTCATTGATGACACTAAACATAAGCATATATGTTACGAATCTACACTCTCACAGGAATACTATTGTGTTGAGATTATTCTTTTGGTCACAGAATCTTGCTCCGAATTCATTGATCTCCCATTTACCGAAAAAACTAAGAATATGATAAGCATCTGTTAGCCAAAAAGGCACACTAGCACGCACACGATTGTTTCAGGACATTTCGTTAATTGCATAATCTTACCAATGAATTAATTGACGTCTAATTATGCCATTTTGCACATGTCTTTTTTAGCACGTTTCATATGCATATTGTCATATTTTTTAAGGACTTTTCATATAGCCGTGTATGGTTTCGCTACTCTGAGGAGTTAGCCGATTGTTCTGTTATTCAGTTTTAACAAACGTAACCATTGAGGGTTAATTGTACGGAACAATGAGGACTACTTAAGGAGTACGGTGTTGACAACTCCAATCATAAGTGTTTGCATTTTAGTGTGTTTAGATATTAAAGTTGCTTAACACGGAAGTATCTGAGTGGTTCCTTCCTAAGTTCATGCATAATCCTAATTATGAGAACTGTATCCTGCGGTGAGATGTGAATTCTGAGCCTAATTTACATGACATACATTTACATAAATTCATATATTTGCATAATTGTTTTTTTTTTATAAAATTACACGTTTTTAATTGTGTTATCACAATTGGTAATACAACCTGAAACAACGAAGCTGCATAATTGTGTAGCGAGTCCAACTGAGTCGCAGACGTTCTTTAGATGCAACACATTTTTTGTAACATCAACCCGTTAACACAAAGGGGTAACTGCCCCTTCACCAGATACAGCCTGGAGTGGTGACCACCCAGATAACTACTCTACGCAGGAGTTACAGCTACGAATCAGACCCTCACTCGGGTCCCCAACCACGTGTTGATGCTTCGTAGAGCTTCCAGGTTGTAGACGTGGAGCTTCCAGCTTGTAGAACAAGGAACCCCAGTCCCACCCAGGGACCCACCTTATACCCCCTCGGGGTTGGGGCCACTCCGCCCTTGGCCCTGCCCACCTCGACCATTCTAACTCCCTCTCGTTCCCTCTCGAGAGCTCTCCCGGACACGTGATCACCCCCTAGCCCCTCCCCCCACCTGGGGCCCTCTCTGTGGACACTCCGGATCACGTGTCTACGGGGTCAACCAGAGTGCCATGGCCCTGGGCAACCCTGCCCCTGGGCTGACACTCTCCCACTCCCCCTGGTGGGATCCCGCACTACACGCTGCTCGTGGTTTCTGTGCTATCCGAGCACTCACCAAGCCCCGCTAGGGCTGGAACTACACCCGCCTACGGGGTGTACGCGATGACAGTGCATCGCACGCCGTGCTGAGCTAGAGCCGGCCTCACACAGCAACCCACCCGGTGCTGTCCGCGGTGTAGGGACATCGCACACCACTACCCTCTTGAGCCGGCACCATACAGTGACATCCCTGATGTCACTACAATTGCATAAATTTAAAGAATTCCATGAATTAGCATAATTTTATAAAATTACAATATTTTTTATTGTTTTATCACGATTGGTAATACACCCCTAGATAAGGAAGCCGTGCCTAATTTGCATAATCGCATTAATGTCAATATTTTCATAAATTAGCATAAATTAATGCAAACACAGCTTTATTATTTACATTTTTTCTTCCAAGACACTAGATAAAACAAGCATTCTCAAGTGGCAGCTGCCTCTGTGTGGCATAAGGTGGCCCTGCACCAGCCTCCATGTGGGCATGAGTCTGTCAGTAGGGGGCGATGATTGTTGTGTTAACTCAGTTGCGTAATTTGTGGGTAATGTTTAGAATTTTCCCAATTTTAACCACAACGACAGCATGCAATCGCATACTCGTTTTAATGACAGTATGTTTTACAATCAACTGTTTGGCAGACGGTGCATATTTGTAATGAATGTTCCTGGACTAACCGGGGATGCCTGTCGGACTTCAACCTTGAACCTCTGCAACAAAAAGAGAATGCGCTACCACTTGTTTTCCCTCAATATGAGTGGTACAGGTGTAGGCCTCATCCGACAGAGATCATCTTCTTGTAAATACGATATAACATGATGAAGTACATTTCAGTGCAGTAATTACATTTTGTCAATATGCCTATCGATAATTTAGAGTTATAATTTTATGAATACTTGTCTAATGTTGTGGGTACATGTGTAGTGGGTTCCAGGACACGGAGACGGCAGAATAGAAGCAGCACTATTTATTTAAACCTTAACAAGGGTTACACTAGAAGGGGTAGCGGCCCCTCCACCCGTATAACTCAGGAACACACCCCAGGCTCTCTAGCCTAAGCTCTAGGCTCCCAGTTCCTCCTGGTAGGGCTCTAAGGGACGCTATCAGATCTGGCCCTGGTTAGGCACAGATCTCGGCACCCCGCCGACCAGACCGGCCCTTAGAAGGACTCTGACTCTGGGGCTCTGGGGCCGCACCACTGGCTTGCTGTGCCGGCCCTGAAAAGGGCAGCGGTCACAGGAGTTCCAGGGTCTCACCTAGCGGGCCTTCTTTCTTCACTGGTTGCTTCAGCCTCGGGCCCCACGCTCTGCCCCGAGCTCCCTGGCTCCCCGCACTTTATACCCACTGGAGCCTTAGCGGACGTTGTTGTAGCCACCAAGGTGTGGGTGAACCACACCTTCCCGTGCCATGTGTTTATTCCCCATAGCACCCCTACACATGTAACATTTTGTCTATAAGGGTCAAACATGGAATACGTGATTGTTAGGAGAAAGTGTGTGTTTTGGAAGTAACCTGTACAGATAACTCACGTAAGAGCTGTTGTTCTTGTGATACGGGTCAACTAGTATTTTTCGTGATTCAGGAAGCATCTCCCTCTGGAACAAGTCATTGTCTTTTAAATAAGGAACATTCGCATCATTAATCAGTTACAAGGCATACCACTTAAAGTTACGTATAGGAGATACATTCTCTACAACATGAATTATTATTTTGTATTACGTGTATTTAAGATTTTTCGAACTAGGACTAGAAATGCTCCTTGCTGATTAACATCTGGATGTTCGTAACCATCGGATGAAGACAGCCTGACTGCTGTTGAGACACTACACGAATACCGGTCCACAGGTGGCTTGCACTGAATCAATAATGCACTCCCAGAAGGCTGTGCTATTTATAGTTTGTGTAAAACATTTCTTTGTTTCGTGGAGAGACCGATAAATGAAAGAGACGTCGTGTCTGCTGATCCATTTCATAGCAAGGAGATAATTTTAAGAGCACATTTAAAATGCATCATGGATTTTTGTTACCGATTTCTATTCTAGCCTAGGTTTTATTGAATTTTAATATGTTTAAGTAAAACTTAAATAACCGTGTCCATCGATATCCCGCTGTTTACCACATGTTGGCTTAAATATGTAAAAGCCTCCTCTGGAGACGTCAGCACCTCCATATCTCTGGTTTGTGACCTCACCAAGAGCAGGCCTCGCTTCGTCCACGGGACGTGACGACTGTGCACTGAGTCTTGGAATTAATTTGCACGGTCATTAAATCTTGACCGACACCAGAGAACACGCACAGAATAGGAGCCCATCAGGTGCAGTGTATGTGGTAAGACGTTTGCACGGTCATCAAATCTTCACAACCACCAGGGAACACATTATAAAACCCGTCAAGTACACTGTGTTTGAAGTGTTTTGAAAATGAAACACGCATAAGGAAATCCATAAGGAGCAGAGTCTGCATTAGAGGTGTAAAATTCCAAGTGCCACAATAAGCCCATAGCGGCATAGCTTGTAACGCAAGAACCATTTGAAAATTATAGCTTGTGCAAAGATTGTCAGCAAGTCTCCATGTAAAGACGGTATGGCTGGATGCAAAGAAAAGGCGCCAGCGAGTTTGGAGGATCTTGGGTGGGGAAATTCCCCAGAGGTCATATTCTTTGGTTCTTTCAGTAAAGTCACGTAGATAGAAAAAAATACCCACTAATGTAAACTGTAGCCTGGTTCTTAATCGAAGTGAGTGTACTGGCAGTCTATAATGTAGACTGGAGCAATGGTTATTCAGCTGGGTGAGTTGTGCTGGCAGTCTATAATGTAGACTGTAGCCTGGTTCTTAACCTGAGTGAGAGTACTGGCAGTAAAAAATATAAAAATGAAAACCACGACGTTTCGATCACAACACAAGTGATCATCTTCAGGAGGAAAGAGGGGGTAGGTTACCGAAGGCAACCGTTTATAAGGTTTCAAAAATGGGCGTGGCACAAGAGCTCTGCCGGTGGAGTGAAGTGGGCGGGGCATATGTTCCCTGGGGTAAGGAAACGACACAAATCAAGTCATAACTTATTGGTCCTACCGTGTATCAACTCGGTCTCATGCTCATGAACACGGTCTGAGACATGTCGCTTCGTTTCCCCAATGTAACCGTTGCCGTAGATACAGCTTAGTTTGTAGATGCCGGGATATTGCATGTCAGACATTGTCCTTCACAAATGGGATTAGATCACGAATTTTACGTACTGTGTTAAATCGGACCTGGATCTTGTGTTTGTTCATGATTTTGAAAATTGTTTTGGTTACCCCTATGTATGGCAAGGTGATGGTTTTGCTTGGATCCACAGATGGCTCCTTCCTCACGGTTGGGGTGATGGTTTTGCTGATTGTGTAGTCAGAATATCCATTCGCCTTGAGAGGTTGGTGCACGTGTTTGAGTTCACTGGTTAGGTGTTCATGGTTGGAGCGTAGCGGTGACGACAGAGCTGGTCTTGCAGAAGGAGAGCCACGTGGTCAAAGACAAAGAGATGACGATGAGCAGTGACGCACACTCCAGCCCCGAACCTCTGGTTTGGTGCTTCTTATATCAGCGTGGCGCAGCCAAGCTCCACCTATAGCCACACTCCCTTTCTAGACCCTTCCGGATGGTTCCTAGAGCTTCTCGACTGACTCCACCCTTCACCTTTACCCCAGATACACCCCTTCAGAATAAGGCATTACGTAATGCAGCTATAATCATAATTACCCCTTCAGGCCGGCAGGTGTCACCCTGTCATTACAGATGTAAAACATACTATTGTGTCATTCAAAACGCATAGGTCATTGCATGTTGGTGCCATGTTCAATATTTGGGTAATTCCAAAGATCCAGAAATTAAATAATGGAGATTACACATCAATCATCGTTCCCCGACTGATAGACTCATGTCCACATGCAGACTGGTGCAGGGCCACATTATGCCACGCAGGGGGAGCTGGCACTTGGGGGTGCTCTTCGAGTGTTTGTCATAGGATATGATACAAAAATCCGAGTTGTAAAGCGATTAAGCAGGCACAAAAAGATGCTAATATTATAACAGTGAATGATGGGGAGCTTATTGGCTCTCGCTCCTGGTTAGACATCTACCTAACCCACAGGTCCACAAAAACTGGCTGCTCTTACTCTGCAAGCTGAACCTAGCAATTGAGTGTTCAACTTCACGTTCTTTCATTAAAAATCTATGCCAAAGGTGAATCTATTGGGGCTTCGT